GAAAAATACGGTATATATTGGTCACCTGTTTGACTATCCAAGTCAAGTAAAATATGCCTTCAATATTTTTAGTATTTTGTCATAGATACTTTCCTTGTTTTTGCTCTTTTAGTATCTTCCATATCATTCATTTAGAATGAATGCATTGGACTTCAAATTGTTTTTCTTTTTCTCACTGGCAGGTCTGGGTACAGACTTCAGTCTGACTACACAGTCAGCTGACCTACCTCCCAAAGAAAGAGACCAAGAGCGAGGCAGGCCTAAGGATCGGAAGCACCACCACCATCACCACCACCATCATCACCATCACACATCTTCTGACAAGGAGCGGTATTCACAAGAGAGGCATGAATATAGCCGGCCTCGATCCAGAGATCGACGCTGGTCCCGTTCACCCAGTGAAGGCCGAGAACATGTGCCTCATAGGCAGGTTGGTGTGGCTTTCCATTCCATGTTGTGCTTCTAGGGACTAATATAAGTGCCTTTAGTACTAAAAGAATGTCTGTATGCTTCAAGAGTATCAAACTCCAGTTATCCATCTACTCATGTAAACATGCTTACACTGATTAGTCTGCATTGTCGTAAGCATAATTTTGATTCAGTCTGAAAATGTAATAATTGCCTTGTAGGATTAAGTATCTAGTTCTTTAGCCAATCAGTTGCTTCTGAAAGACCACAGCCACTTTTTACAATGGTAACTCTCCCTGCCACTTCTCCTCTTCAGCATCAGGCACTCAGAGAAGTACATTTTCAGGACATGGAGATAAGGCCAGCCTTACCATAAGGTAAATTAATGCTCCTTTCTCAATGGTAGAAGTCAGAGAGAGAAATGGACAAGGTGTTGGCATAAAGATCTCTCTGAGATATACTGCCTGACCACCTGCACCCTTTAGGTTCCTGCAGATCACAATTCTATTGCCAGTTTTGAAATATGACAGTCTGTCAGTGTGCTGAGCTTCTGTACATAAAATGGGAGCAAGGGGATTATTTTGTCTTTCTCCCTAAACAGCACAGGATTTCCATTTAGCTACCATAGCTAGTAATTCTTGATAGATATGAACCTGGTTAATCTTTGTGTTTCTTCAGGCCACATATTCCTCTCCTTCAAATATAGTATTCATTTTTGTTTTTTGCTTTTCTTAAACGAAATATATTCAATTAATTTAAGTTATCTTCCTAGGTAGTATGCTTCAGTACACTAAGAGTTTTAGTTGCTATTTGTGTACTTTTCCCATGTTATTTTATTTTTTTTTACAGCAGGATATCCTATAAGTTTACAGTATTCTAAATGCTGTTTTAAAATGGATTCATAAAATGACATTTGGAGTATTGCAAGACAGGGCTTGTGATATCCCAACTGCCAAATGTCTGTCCAAATGGCCTGTATCTCAAATTGTGGGTCTATGTATTTATTTTTTGTTCAGAATTTGTTTTATTCTGTGAGCAAACAGGAAACATAGTGATTGACCCTGAACAGGAACAGATGGAGCCAGTGAGATTCTCTTGCCTAATCTTGCCAAATAAACAAATAAACTATGACTGACTAAGAAAATCAGTTTAAATAATCTCTTAGGCTAGCTTTAAAATGACAATCTTCCTAGCATTCACACTGACTACTTGAGCTGATATAATTATCTTGAGCCAATATTGCAGTTTTCAAATTTAGGGGGCCAGGCTGTGAGCAATTTTCATTGCTTTTTCAGACAAAATCAACTGGATTCACCTCAATTTGGACTCCAATTTTGCAGCAGTTCATAGGGAGGTAATCTTGGTAATATTTATCAGGTTCATGGATTCTTTTCAATTTGTAGATTTCAAGGATGTGGAAAGAGTGTGTGAAGAAATAAGGACTACCATTTGTCTGCTCAACTCATACTCTTCCTGGCTGATTAAATCAGCCAGGTTGAGATTGGCTTCATGGTAGGGGACATATGTCTCTGCTTGCTTAAATGAGGCTTTTATAAAATCTTTGCTGAAAAGATCCTTCCTTGACCTGGAATATTCCTGGAATTATAGGCTGTCTTAAATATTCCATAGTTGGACAAAGTGATGGAGAAAGTGGGGACCTTCAACTCCAGCTGCATCTGGGCCCATTTCAGTAGGGATTTCCTCCAGGTTATGGTAGTAAGATTGCTTTGGTTGTCTCTGTTGATGACCTGTGTTAGATGAGGAAGAACATCCCTACAACTTCTCCAGTATATCTCAGTGGCTTTTGATGCCTTTAGCTGGGGTGGGCCTTAGGGGCACTATTTTGCAGTGATTCCAGTCCTTTCAGTCATGACGTATCCAAAGCATGGTACTGGAGGACTACTCCTCAACACAGATCTCTGAGCTGTGGATTCCATCTTGTCTCTTATATTATTCAACATTTACAGTTTTGAAGTGGGGTGATATCAGTATACTGATGACAATGAGCTCTATAATTCTTTATCTTCTGATTCCAATGACTCAGTCAAACTTTTGAATGTGGCTTAATTTTGATAAAGGGCTAGATAAGGAAAAACAAGCTGAAACTAAATCCAGACAAGGTGCAGATGCTTTTGTTAAAGAAAAATTTGACTCTGGAATTGAAGTGAGGCTTGCTGTGGATGGGATTGTACTGCCCCAAAGGAAGCCTGTTCAGAGTTTGAAATGTTCCTTAATTTTAATTCTGATTTTAATTGCATTAATGTTTATATTTTGTATTTTTCTCATTGAAAGCTACCTTGATAGTTGAAGAAACAGGCAGGGTAGAAATCTAGTAAATAAATAAATAAATAAAGTGGAGCAAAAACAGCAGATTTTTTCATTTTCACAAGAAGCTGATATTTGTAGTGGCATGTGGAAGAGGGGCTATCCTGGTTCCTTCTGCTGAGGCTTATGTTTCATAGGTCGCTAGGCGCCACAAGCTTTGACACTGAGATAATCCACAGAAGTTGGCGGGGGGAGTGACTTAAGCTAACAACTATCTCTCAGCTCTACCTGGCTGTAGTTTTAGTTGTTGTGAGGATAATATTGGAGAAGGAAATCGTGTATATGCTGCCTGGAACTTCTGAGGGAAAGACAGAATATGGCTGAGTAATAATAATATCAGCCATTTCCCTTTCTAGGATTTAGAGTTGAATTATGAAAGATCCCATGCTTCTTCCTACAGGAACATTAATTTGACAGAAGTAGACACTGGGCAGAGGATAAAGGAGAAAGTGTTGAGAGAGAGAGACATAGAGAGAATAACAAGTTGGACTGAACCAGTTGAGTAAGTGAGCTCAAATAATTAGTTTCCCCTGTATTGGTCTTTCTTTGTTCCCTCAATTTGGGCTTCTTAGTATTATGTAAGCAAGAGATCATATTAAAATGGAATAAATCATGTTTCAAAAAAAAAAAAAACTTTCTGAAGGCCCATTGGAAGTAAGGGAATGGTTGTAGCTGATGAACCTGTTGAAACTAGAAAAAGGCATTCCTTGTTACATAAATTATTGATGCCTCTAGGAGCACTTGCATATTATGTGTATTCTTCTTTAGAAAGAAGTATAACCTTGCTCAGAACTTAGAACCTTTCTATTCCTGGATAAGGGAACAGTCTACTCACTGTGGCTTCAGCTTGTTGGGTTTCAGTTTGTTGGCTCTTATCTAACCATCCGTGTATCCAGTACTATTTAAGGATGCACCCAGTCTTCCTTGACTAAGATAATACCAAGATATAGAGGTTGATTGCATTAGAATATTGATGACAAACCTCCTAATGGCATCCTCCTATAGATATAAGTATCAGAGAGAATAGAATGTTTACACAAACTTTGACTCATTCAATTCTTTCCAGCTAGATTGAGAGGATTTATGGCTGGATGAAACATTTAAACATTTAAAATATCTTATCTACAACTTTTGTCTTCAAAACACGAAACTGATCCCATGATGTTGGGCCAGGCAGTTCACTGAATACCTTATTAGGACTTAGTGGTGATGGGCTATGGGGAAAGATCCATGCGCAATTCAAGAGCAGCTGCAGGTTCCTGGCCAAACAGAATCGGTGCCAATGCTGGAAATTGAGGTCCTAACCTCATTGTCATCAGTGCTAGAGAACTGGCATAGAGAGGAGCAATTTTGTCCCTTGAGCAATTTGCAGATATGCTGTAGTGGGCATCTGTGACCTCTAGCATCCCATTTTAGGGATAAATTTTAGGAACCTTCCTTGCTATACTCTGTACACCCTAATATTCCACAATTTGTGGTGGTTCAGGAAATCCTGCTTCCCCTTGCTCAGGCTCCTTCTATCAAACATTAGTGGAGTCATTCCATTTTTTGACACATGCAGAGTGTCTGGGGATGCAGAACTGAACCACTGAAGCTTCTTGTCACATTCTGTCACTTGACCTCTGCAATCCTAGTCTAACACCTTAACTATACCACCACACTGGCTTATACTACACAGACGGTGTTGAAATATGCTAGAGCTGAGCTGCCTTTTGCCAAGCCTCCAAGGCATATAGGACTTAAAGTTATTTGCCTCAGGTTTCTTTTATGCTGTTGAGTCAAGGAATGTTCACTTTTCTTTTCTTTTCTTTTCTTTTCTTTTTTTTCTTCTATATGTTGGAATCTGTGATCTGAGCTGTTAATCTGTTAAACTTTTATTAGATGAACATTGATTATTGACAAAGTTTGTCTAATGAGAATGTGTCTTCTAAACTGTCCTCATATATCTATATATATATAGTACATGTACACACTAACTTTTGTATGCCCATATAATCCCCCTCCCCAAACCCTTCTGTGCTGCTTCATTGTGGAAGTGTTCCTGGGAGGGATAAGTAAAAAAAGCTGGGAGTTTATGCCAAGAGCATATAATCCCAACAGGGTCACCCAAGATTTGAAGATCATCCCAGATGCCCAACTAAAGCAAGTGGGCATCTATATTGGGCAGCAGTGATATAGAAGATGGTGGAGGTAGAAAATTACTTTAGTGACAACAGCAAAGGCATCATTTCATATTGCATAGGAGAAGACAATGATAAACCATTCCTGTATTTTACCAAGAAAACCACATAGACAGGAAATATAAAATGATTGACAATATACTGTATGCCAGACTATTGGCTCCTTAGGTCAGATGGCACTCAGCATGTTACTGAGGAAGAACTGAGGATCTTTCATAGTACTAACAGTATTTATGACATGGCTAAATAAAAGCCTTCAGGATGTTTAGTTGCTGATGTTGCCATGTGAGAAAAGAATATCTGAAGCTGCAAGGAAAGAATTACAATGAGAACAGGAAATGTAAGAAGCATGAATATGAGAAATGGAATGAAAGATGAAATAAATCAACATTTGACATCTTAGCCATCAGCAAATTGAGATGGGATGGAATGGAACTGGAAACTTTCACTTAGAAGATCTCACTGTTTATAACTCAGGCTATGAAAGACAAAGAAGGAATGGCATTGCTTTCATAGT